TCATAAAATCTCAAATTTGCTTGTGGCAGTTTGATCACATTATGCTACTGGTAACATTATGATTTGATTTTTGTGTGTCAAGCTTTTGTCTGCCCCAAAATGACAATGAAAGTCTAAGATGTGCCAGCAATAAAACAACAGCAACCTGTTGGCAATATGATGTTGTTAATGGATGTATTATATTATATATTTCCACAATTAACCCAGACCCAATACCATGCTTATTTTCTATGTATTCACATTGGCAAAATAACAGCACTTGCTCCTGTTTTGCCCATATTTTGTACAGGAATAAACCTTTACCAAATTCTAAATAATGCTCATGTATTGTTGACAGCAATATTAGCGTAAAATGTATAATTTTGATCACAATTTGATCTTGTTTTGATCAATGCAAAACAGTAATTTGTACCCAGTGATACGGTCAGGGCGATGTATCAGATAAACCAAACTTCGTGTTTTGCTTCCGCGATGTGTGCGTTCATCTTGCTTCTCTGCACCGATGCGCAAGGAAGAACTTCATTGACTCAAACACGGACTTCCATCCCCAGAAGACCGATTCACGAACTATCAACGTGGTTTGAATGAATGCGTGTAGTGTCTCGGAGGAACACATGTCGATGTAACTGACACTTATCTCGACGAACCAGTGAGGTTTTCGGTCGACAAAGAACACGACGACCGCAAATAACCAAGCAAAACATCGCAACCTGGGACAACCCGTTCTTGTCAGCTAATCGCCCGCTAACACAAGCTACTGATCTTGGGAGACCTTTACACTCCAAAAGAGTAAAATCAACCCGACATCGCATCAGCAACATTTAGATTAGCGAGTAGACCACTGCTTCAGCAGCACTAGCCTAATTTTCAACGATGACGCGGCTCGGTCATCGGTCATTTTAGCATGCTTCGTCCGAATCCCCAAGGTTCCCGAGCGTTCCACTGAGATCGAAGACTTACGAGTCATCCCAGGTCATCCCCGCCTTCGCGCCTCCAAGCCTTTGTCACCATCCAATCGTCAGATTAAAGTTTTATACAAGAAGCCTCCGGGACATGCTGATCATCCACTTATCACGTACACACCTCCGATCGAGCCTCCGAAAGAACTTGGCGAGGGCCACGCAAGATAACGCGCAAGATAAGGCCCTGATTTGCGTCTCCCCGGGCTTGCCGGCGACGGTCGTCATACGTAGGCGTCTGCTGACAGATTCTATCTCGCACATCATGGGCGAACGGCAACCCAACGGTGAACATGTCCACGTCCGTTCGAACCTTAACATTTTAACATAGTATTCGCGGTTCAATGATAGATACATATTTACATGTACGGTACACTGTACATGTGCCGCGTCGTCATAAGATACTCCGGCAACTCGAAACCGGCCAACAGGAGCCATAGAATCCACAAGGGATTGGTAGCCGCGCTTCGCGGGCAGCCGAAGCTGAGCGAGTGAGTGCGCGCGACATAAATTGCAAGGTTCAGTGGCTACGCCCTGCCTGGGCCTTTGCGTCCTCCGATCTACTAGGGGAGACGAAAACAGATCGTGGCAATGACATAGGTACATCCTGATTAGATTGCAAAAGTGCCTCCTCGAACATCGGGAAGATCTATGTTAGCTGCTACTGATAACCGGGGTTGTGGAGAAGTAGTCTGGGATATGCGACAACGTAGGATCGTCACTATCGAACCTCCGTAGCTTCGCGGCCGTGGAGACGGGCGGTGCGCATCGCGGCGTCGTCGCGGTATGTTTCAGGCGGGGCGTTGCCGGGGCCAGGCAACGATTCCCCACCATCGAACATAACATACGAGGTAACCCGCGAGGACCGATACGGGACGAACAGGAACGCACCGAGACCGGAGGCGCAACAGCAGTTTCCCTTCATGAACGTATGCAATCGTCGAAAAGCGGAAACCCCTCGCTTCGCGGGATCGGTGAAAGCTCGACAGCGAGTAGGAAAGTGAGCGAGAACAGGACAGGGTTTCATCTTCCAATCGAAAGCGCACGCTTACGACCTGTATCACAAAGCACAGCACGAGGTCCATAGCCTAATGTTGCACTCGCATTCCCAGCGTCAACGCAAGCCGCCGTCTCCTCAAGTCGCCGGCACCGGAATCGGCCGAAGCGCCCGAGCTTGAACGCGAGGAAGGGTGCGAGGTGGTGCGGTCGGCACTGGAGCATGTTGCAGAGTGGGTATGTCTGCGATGGCCGTGTTCATAAGCACAGGTGGGGTTCCTCGCGCATGATGCTATCTGCCTGGTGTCGTCGGACAGGAAACGTCAGCGATGCGGCAAGCAAGGCCAAGACGCACCAACGAGCACCAATGCGTATGGAGCTCGAGGCGTCCGGGTCGCTGTTCCTGAAATCCCGGGCTGAGTCATCATGCATCATCAGGTATTGGAAACGGAAGGGAACTGCTGTGCGGTTGTCAAGGGGCAGTCAGAACTGTAATTCCGGACCTTGACTGGGGGGGGATCCATCCCCTACTGGTGTCTGGGGTCGTGTCAAGGAGCCGAAGTACACAGCCTTATGGCGAAGTTATGTCCGAACTCGTTACCTTCGGCATACGCAAGTAGAATACAATCTAATAGCATGATTTCGAATCGAGGACATGCTCGGTGCCCTCCCTACTAACTTTATACGAAGAGATTGTATCTTTGAGCTCGAGGGGGGTAATTTTGGTTAATACGGGGTAGAAGCCCCTGTTGGCCGAGCGCTACAAATAGTTGCAAAGTCCGCGCGCGATCTACGTCGCGTTGAGCGCGCCGACATCTATCTGAGTATGCATCCAGTTTCCTTATCGCAATCATGAGGGTATGTCTTACTCCTGCAACCTTCTTTGATTTCCTTGCTTGATTTTTATTATCACCTGTCCCAAGGATCGCCCGCTTTTACCTTGACAGCTTCAACGGCCAAAATGGAGGCTGATACCATTAACAAGGATTCAAACTGCTTTCTTTGTGGAAATTTGTTTCGCTCAGATGAATCATGGCTGCATAGCGGTCATACCTTGAAAGCAATGCAAGGAGTGACAGAGGATGGCCTCCGTGAAAAAGTGTGATAACTTCTAGCTTCCTTTCACTTGCCTTATTTCTTACACATCTGTGCAGGTGTCAATTAGTCATGTGTGTGGCTTCTGTGGCAAGCCTTTGTGTGCAAGTGTTCGACTAGAAAAAACAAGCATGGGAAGATATACTACGGAGTCCCAATGCCCTCGCTTTCACATTTTACAACTTGCTTCAACTCGCTTGTCAACTCGCAAGTGGCAGTAGTAGTACTCACTCCCAGCGCCAGTGGCTCATTTAATTGCCTCGGATGATGGGCTACAGACTTCTATGGATTAAATATTACAACTATACTGTGACAGAACTCTACGATATACGCATGTTTACGTCTGACAGTAAATAGAGTAAATCTGATGCTTCACTCACTCGAGTTGCAGGCGACTCGCAACCTAGTCGGAGTTGAATCGTGGGAGCGTCTGTAGTGCCATAATT